AGCCCAGCCTTTGGTGCAGGTGGTGGTGGAGCCACAAGGGGCCTGATCCTTCTGGTGGCAGTGCAGCTCTAGCCCCTTCCCCACTGTCTGCCCCGAGGTGTGCATTCATCTGCTGCCAGCAACAAGCTAGGCTGGAGCGCTGCAGATCCCAGTGCAGCTGCTTGCAGCCTTCTAGCTGCAATATATTTATAGTATAAATATTTATATATATTATTCCATAAGTGTTCCTCGTTATGGCCATGGTCCCACACCCTCTAAAGTCAATGGGGAGGATGATTGAACCTTCCATTACTTTAGTTGACATTAAATGAGATATTTACACTTGAAAACAACTCTTCCAGTGGCTCACATGCCTCATACCTCCTCTGCTGCTCAACAAATTGACAAAGACAAGACAATCACCAGCCACACCCTGGAAAGCAGCTTGAGTGGGGTATTGCCCTATGGTGGCTACAAATCAGACTAGCTCAGGTACTCAGGTTACACAGCACTGCATTGGGCCAAGGTAGACATACCCTGAATCTTGACAGAGTTAAGTAGGTGTAGCTTAAACCTACGCCACAGCAGTGTCCACAACTTGGCTTTGAGTCCTCTCAGGAAAGGGCAGGAATAGAAGGCAGGTCTCCTTCTTCCTGTGCAAGTGCTCCATCCATTGAACTACTGGATATAAAAGGGGAGCACCACCTTTTCCTCTTGCTATATTATGAAAGACAAGAGTGACCTCTGCTCAGTTTTTGAAAGAAATGCCTACAGTGCCAGATTTAGGCTTAAGCTACAGCTTAGGGCCTCACAATATGAGGGGCCTCTAAATAAGTAAAAAAACCTGATTCATTATTAAGTTTTATAATAATCAGTTGATAAATAAAGAAGATAAAGAAGATATGGGAAAATAACTCCCTAAATATGGACATTTTCATTCTGTGACAAAAAAAACAAAACAAACAAACAAACAAACAAACAAAAATATATATATATAAATAATAATTCATCTTAAAATTTCACGAAAACCCATTTCTGTGGATTTCATGGATTATTTTTAGTTGAGGGCCTCAGCATGTCATAATCCAGCACTGGCAAAAGGAACATCAGGCGAGTGTCACTACACCTGCCTCTACAGGTAAATAAAGGGCCCAAGTCCCAAAGAGAGGTGGGACTCCAGGTACATGCCTGTCCTCAGCATTTCCTATCCCCTCTCCAGTCAGACTCCCGGCTGCTGTGAACCCTGCCCCGAGACACCGCATTGCCCCTAGAGCGCCGAGAGTCCCAACCCGGGCCTGTGAACTATCGCGGGGCGCCAGGCATCTAAAAGTAAGTAAGTATTGCCACACTCGCATTGTGCTGCCTCCCTTCTTTGATGGATCTTGGTCCTGGCCTTGTTCCTTTATGAACCTAGCCCATATGAGCTGCTTGGGCTCAGTACCTGCAGTTATACATCCACGCTTATTTATGTATCAAAATCTGAAAATTTTGCCCACAGGGACTTTCCAAACGTCCCACAGTGCCAGCTGTAGAAGGAGAAAGCTGCTTCTGCCAACGCTCAGGGGGAAAAACAATCACTGAATGACTCCCTCCTCGACTAAAACTGGTTCCAACGAATGGAGACAACAGACCAGGTGGTTTAAAGGAAGCACCTGGGCGCTGAAGAGATATAAACGGGATAAAAAGAAAGGTGGAAAAAAAGCAAACTACCCTGAAGCACAGAGAAACTGTACAATTGCTTTCCAGGTTCTCCTTCTTAATATTATCTGCACAATGGCCACCTCCCACTATGTTTTCCTTTTCCATTCTTCCAGGAATCCCGCTACACAAAAGGACGTCAACAAGGCGTCCGCGGGCCGAGCTGGTTGCTCCTGTTCCCGGCAGTTCGTCATTCTTTAAATTTCCTTTTTTCATTTTGGGAAGCGGGAGGTGGGTATGATATAAAGAGCTTTGCAGAATGCTCTTCATGTCCCCTGATGTGAGGTTTTACAATCCAGGAGTGAGGGACTTTGAAGTTTGGTGGTCCTTCGGAGAAATTGCCTATCCACTTCTCTTATATGCCAGTGGAGTTTGATATTCTGTAGTACAGCAGCAAGAGAGAAGCAACAGGTCAGAGTGTTTAGCACCTTTTAAAAGGTACATTTGGAAGCCTATAGGCTATCAGAGAAGGCATGGGAAAGATATTGCACCTGCCAGGCAGGTAGTTGTGTTGTACAGTAGTTTCTAAGCCTGCTGCACATTCATATTAAAGCTGGATTGAAACCAGCTGTAGAGTTGTCACATATTGTCAAGCACTACCTTTATAGCTGGTTGGCTCTTTTTATAGTTGGTTAGTGATTTTTATTGTGTGATAATTACTTTGTACTTGTGGCTGATCTACATTTATTATGTGTGTGATGGGCTAGCTGGCAGTGACTTAGCCCAGGGGTTTTGAAAGGGCAAAAGATGATTGGAGGACTTGGGATTCCCTTTCCTCACCAATCAAGCCCCAGAGACTCACCCTCCGTGTCCCCTGATTGGCCCCTTGGATCACCTGGAGGGGGATAAAAATGGCAGCATGGCTGACTTAGGAGAGACTAGCAAGGGACTATGAGGAAAGAGATTCAAAGAGCTGGGCCAGTGGGGTGAGAGCAGTTGCCCCAGAAGCACCTGAAGGAGTGGGACCTGTAGGCAGAAGTTGGACCCCCAGCAGCATGGTATGTGGCTGGCAGGAGAGGCTCCCTTGCTCCAGCAAGGATCTCAGCAGCAGCCTGAGAGGCTCCCAGCTCTGCTTCCAGCTCCTCCAATAAGAGGCCCAGCAGTTCAGTGTGAGGCCGGGGCTCTGGAAAATTTGAGACCTCTTGCAGCTTGGAGCAGTACTAGCACTGGTGGCTATGTAGCAGAATTTCTGTCTACTCTGTGGGAGGTCCAAGTTCAAGTCTTAGGTGGGGTAACTTGGGAGAGTGAGCTGATAAGGAGAAATTCTTCTTGCAGTGCATTGTGTTTTCCCCCTTTCTACTCCTCCAGGTACCTAGGCCCTATATTCCTTGTCATTTGACATTTTGTATTTCGTGCCTTTTTTATATTTCACCAACCAGTATTGTTTGCTCTGCTGTTTGTGTTTTACATTTTGGTTAACCCTGTCTTTTGTCAACTGGATGAATATGTCTATGATTGTAAGTGTCTAACCTTTGTTGAATCCTGCCCTCTCAGGGCATTGTAGTGTCCCCTATACCCCCTGGTTTATACTGGTTATGTTCCCAGTATTGTTCTCTCAATAAAAGTTATATTGTTAAGTTCCCAGTGGTGGTCTGGCTCTGCTCTATAGGGGGTGGAGAGTCCCTACACCTCCCACAGTGCTTGTGCACCTGCTTTGATCCCTTCAATTGGAGAGGGGGTACCTCTTAGAATACTGCCCGGGTTACATGTGATTAACCAGTTACTCATGTGATGCATGTAACGTGTAGGAAGGGGTGTACATGGCTGCCCTGCAGAGTATATTAGATTAGTTAAATGTGAAGTAACAAAGACAAGGATGATGACTGTGAAGTCCCCATCCAGAATGAATGTTTAAAGCCTCCTAGCTTATGAAAATGTTGAGAAACTGACCAAAGTACATCTTGTTACCTGGTCTTCAGCTGAATCTAGCCAGACCCAAATGTTTAGTATCTGGTCAATAAAAATGATAATATACATTCTCTGTTAAATGAGCTAATATTCTCACCATCTCTTCTTGCTGCTAGGCACTGTCAGTTCAGCCCTGACTAAAATTTAATAAACATGATAAGTTAATTCTTACCCCAATCTCATTCAGACATTGAAGGTTATTTAGCATGTTTGCCTTGAACAATCAGTTTGCTCGAGAGTTCCTTTGTTCATAATTGAATTTGTACGTAAAAAGTTTGTATTTAGTAACAAATGTCAGTTGAAATTAGGGTTAGACCAACACTAGGAGTGACTTACTAGTAGTGTATATTGATGCAGGCAAAGTCCTCCTACATATGACACAGCTTTCACCAGCAACACTGCTTTTTCCAGCCTAGCTTAGTTCCAGTTCCTCCCTGAATGAAATGAACAAAAATAGCAAGAGTGCATTTGTAGTATGTCAGCAAAGGAGGCTTTTGATGATACAGCTGTATAGATTGCAGGTCTCATCATCATACTTGCAGGTTTTCTGGTAAAGGGTTTATACTATAAGCTGTTTCTAGTTCTACTTTTCCCCCCCTGCATCATAACAGCTGTACTCCAAGAGATGTTAAATTACTTTTTCCCCCAGTAAATGATGCAGTTAAATTGTAGTCCTTGTACTACTTTCCTAACTTATAAGCTTCTTAGGGATCTGATTCCCTAGCTAGACTCCTCTGTCTGAAAATGCCCAACCTAAAAAAAACTGTCAAATGATGAACATGTGACCTTGAACAATCCAATATTCTTTTAAGAAGGGCAGGAAAAGACAGCACATTAGTGTAGTTGCTCTTGTTTGGTCCACAGCTCTGAAACATTGTAACCAAGATCAAACTAAATGTCAGACTAGCACTTAGGGTTTAGAAGGCTGGAATTGAAAGCCCTTTGGGATAGGGATGAGATCAGTACGTCAGGACTGAGGAGTAGCAGGTTGATCTTATGCCCTTTCTCTCAGGATGCAAAATGTGATTTATACCCCTTTCTGAAAATGGCGTATGCATAATGCCTATACACCAAAATCAGTTTCGTTGTAAGATAGCTAGTTTTTTACATGCCATTTGAAATGAATAATACATGAGTTTCATAAAGTAGTATTTTACAGTAGCACACTGAGCTTGCTATCTTCTGATTTACCTGCATTTTAAATGTAATTTTCTTTTCAGGAATGTTAGTAAGTCTTGTCTTGAAACTGTGTAAGTAAGTGTAACTTCTTGGAAACGTACTAAAATACAATTTTAGCAAATATCAGTGTTAGCATTTCATTATTGTAAACTTGTAGTATGAGCCATATATGCTGATGTTATTTATGCTAATTTATGTATTTTATGCTAATATAGCTTTTTAATCACACTAGTTTACAGAAGAAAAATTTGGTCAAGCAGAGAAGACAGAGCTAGACGCTCACTTGGAGAACCTTCTCAGTAAAGCAGAATGTACAAAATTGTGGACAGAAAAAATTCTGAAACAGACAGAGGTGTTACTGCAGCCAAATCCGAGTAAGTAGGACTTTAGATTTTGTATTGTTATTTTAGCATTAACAAGTGTATTTAGAAAGCAGTTTGAATTGCTGATATGTGTTAAGATAAGTCAATTGGAGTTCATTATTCTCTCTGGCAGACAAGGTTCTTTGGGTGAATCTGATATCTTTTATTAGACCAACTTAAATAGCTGGAGGAAAAAAACTGATCCATCTTTAGGGTTTAAAAACCCTTCTGAGGTTGAGAAGTCTCTGCAGTTGGTGCATGCTCTTTCTGGATGAAATGAATAATAAAGAAGCCAGAGGCTGGGCTGGTATGTCAGTGAAGATGTAAATTGAGGAGTCAGTGGGTGAGAGAGGTGGATAAGGGGGAAGAGAAAAGGAGGATGAATGTAACAGTTAAATAGTGGAGAGGTACCTGGGAAGCCAGATGTCAGGCAGGTTATAATGTGTCATAAGACCAATGTCTGTATTTAGTGCATGATTTTTGTTATCCAGGAGGTTGATGAAGTGAAGTTCATAGGCTCGTCTCTGGGAAGTGTTTTGTAAGCTCCCTTTGAGGATTCAAATTGAAAGATTGGAGAGAGAGTGGTTTTCTTGTGAGAAATGTGCCCCCACCGGTAATTGGGTATTCTTGTCTTTTTAATAGATTTCCACTGTGTGTTCATTCTGGTGTGCAGTTGTTGTTTGGTGTCTCCTCTGTATTTTCTTTTTCCATCTACCAGAGTTCAGTTCTCCTTATGATGTAATGCAACAAGTTAGCTTTTAATTCCAAAGCAAAGATTTCAGCAAAGAAAATGGCAACTGTGTCTTACAGAACAATTCCTGCATCTTGGGTTTTTCCACCAGATTTATCTCTGTTCTTGTAGTGCCTCTGTAGGAAAGACTGGACTAGAGCAGGGTGGAAAATTCCATCACAGTTCTGTATTTTGTAGTGAATTTTGTTCGTTCCTTGTTTATTTTCCACAAATATGAGAAAAGACTTTAGTTATGAGTTTGAAGTATTCTGGGGTAAATATCTACATATGTAAGGTGTTACCAGATTTGCCTGTCACTTTGAGGTGCACTCATGTTTTGGGGGACATTTCTGGGGTCTCTAATTCTGTCAGTGTGCTCCTTGTGTCACTTGTGTTTCTATATGGAGCTGTATCTCTCCATTCTGCAAGTCCTCACCCCTAATGGAGCTATCCTGCAGGATTCAGTTTCAAAGGGGCTGGGTTCCTCCAACCACTGAATCAGTCAAACACATATATGCACATACACACAGATTAACAGGGCATGCGAGAGCCAGGCTGGGTTATTCAGCACTGACAGGCTGACACCTTCATGTGCCTTGAACTCAGTTCATTCCTTATTTCAGCAGGAACTGTCAAATGATGAACATGTGACCTTGAACAATCCAATATTCTTTTAAGAAGGGCAGGAAAAGACAGCACATTAGTGTAGTTGCTCTTGTTTGGTCCCCAGCTCTGAAACGTTGTAACCAAGACCAAACTAAATGTCAGACTAGCACTTAGGGTTTAGAAGGCTGGAATTGAAAGCCCTTTGGGATAGGGATGAGATCAGTACGTCAGGACTGAGGAGTAGCAGGTTGATCTTATGCCCTTTCTCTCAGGATGCAAAATGTGATTTATACCCCTTTCTGAAAATGGCGTATGCATAATGCCTATACACCAAAATCAGTTTCGTTGTAAGATAGCTAGTTTTTTACATGCCATTTGAAATGAATAATACATGAGTTTCATAAAGTAGTATTTTACAGTAGCACACTGAGCTTGCTATCTTCTGATTTACCTGCATTTTAAATGTAATTTTCTTTTCAAGAATGTTAGTAAGTCTTGTCTTGAAACTGTGTAAGTAAGTGTAACTTCTTGGAAACGTACTAAAATACAATTTTAGCAAATATCAGTGTTAGCATTTCATTATTGTAAACTTGTAGTATGAGCCATATATGCTGATGTTATTTATGCTAATTTATGTATTTTATGCTAATATAGCTTTTTAATCACACTAGTTTACAGAAGAAAAATTTGGTCAAGCAGAGAAGACAGAGCTAGACGCTCACTTGGAGAACCTTCTCAGTAAAGCAGAATGTACAAAATTGTGGACAGAAAAAATTCTGAAACAGACAGAGGTGTTACTGCAGCCAAATCCGAGTAAGTAGGACTTTAGATTTTGTATTGTTATTTTAGCATTAACAAGTGTATTTAGAAAGCAGTTTGAATTGCTGATATGTGTTAAGATAAGTCAATTGGAGTTCATTATTCTCTCTGGCAGACAAGGTTCTTTGGGTGAATCTGATATCTTTTATTAGACCAACTTAAATAGCTGGAGGAAAAAAACTGATCCATCTTTAGGGTTTAAAAACCCTTCTGAGGTTGAGAAGTCTCTGCAGTTGGTGCATGCTCTTTCTGGATGAAATGAATAATAAAGAAGCCAGAGGCTGGGCTGGTATGTCAGTGAAGATGTAAATTGAGGAGTCAGTGGGTGAGAGAGGTGGATAAGGGGGAAGAGAAAAGGAGGATGAATGTAACAGTTAAATAGTGGAGAGGTACCTGGGAAGCCAGATGTCAGGCAGGTTATAATGTGTCATAAGACCAATGTCTGTATTTAGTGCATGATTTTTGTTATCCAGGAGGTTGATGAAGTGAAGTTCATAGGCTCGTCTCTGAGAAGTGTTTTGTAAGCTCCCTTTGAGGATTCAAATTGAAAGATTGGAGAGAGAGTGGTTTTCTTGTGAGAAATGTGCCCCCACCGGTAATTGGGTATTCTTGTCTTTTTAATAGATTTCCACTGTGTGTTCATTCTGGTGTGCAGTTGTTGTTTGGTGTCTCCTCTGTATTTTCTTTTTCCATCTACCAGAGTTCAGTTCTCCTTATGATGTAATGCAACAAGTTAGCTTTTAATTCCAAAGCAAAGATTTCAGCAAAGAAAATGGCAACTGTGTCTTACAGAACAATTCCTGCATCTTGGGTTTTTCCACCAGATTTATCTCTGTTCTTGTAGTGCCTCTGTAGGAAAGACTGGACTAGAGCAGGGTGGAAAATTCCATCACAGTTCTGTATTTTGTAGTGAATTTTGTTCGTTCCTTGTTTATTTTCCACAAATATGAGAAAAGACTTTAGTTATGAGTTTGAAGTATTCTGGGGTAAATATCTACATATGTAAGGTGTTACCAGATTTGCCTGTCACTTTGAGGTGCACTCATGTTTTGGGGGACATTTCTGGGGTCTCTAATTCTGTCAGTGTGCTCCTTGTGTCACTTGTGTTTCTATATGGAGCTGTATCTCTCCATTCTGCAAGTCCTCACCCCTAATGGAGCTATCCTGCAGGATTCAGTTTCAATGGGGCTGGGTTCCTCCAACCACTGAATCAGTCAAACACATATATGCACATACACACAGATTAACAGGGCATGCCTGAGCCAGGCTGGGTTATTCAGCACTGACAGGCTGACACCTTCATGTGCCTTGAACTCAGTTCATTCCTTATTCCAGCAGGACAATAATAAATGCAGTTAGACACACATACATGCTAGCAGAGTACGTCTGAGCAGGCTGGGTCCGATCAGCGCTTTCAGCTGATGCCCTCATGCGCCTCAAAACTCGGTATGTCCCAATTTCTTGTCACAATGGTCCTACTAGTAACTCCCTTGATAAGCAGACTCCACCATAGTTTTGGGCATTACAGGGATCTTCAGCTAGGTAACAGAAGCATTGCTGCAGAGCAAATGGGGAGGTCAAGGGGAAGGAAGAGTAAGTGAGGTTCAGAGAGAGAGAGAGTATATAGCAACCAGCTTGACCATAGAAGTTGTTTATTGCCAGGTATATGAACTTATGATGATACCAATAGTAATAGCCATACAAGAGAGACAAAGAAAACAGTTACACTATTACACAGTTTCAGTTAGGTATTTGGGGAAGTCTAGCTCAAGTTTGCTCAACAGAAGTCAGGTTTAGAAAGCTGGGCCTGGAGTAAGAAAGCAAAAGTCAGGTTCCTGGAGTCAGAGAGAGAGAGAGAAAGAGAGAGAGAAACTGTGTTGGGGGCTCGCCACTCAGCAAAGCTTGAACCAGTCGAGGTTCCCAGGTGTTTGTTGGAGCTTGCAGACGGGCAGAGCCCTCAGCACAATTAGTGGAGGGATTCCAGGCAGAAAAGGAGTGGAACTGGTATAGCTTTTGGATCCAAGCACCAGGACAGAAACTTGAGCTTGGGTAGGGGTTTTTGTAGAGAACTAACAGTGGTTCAAGGGAGAACACTAGGTTTGTTCATGGGTAAACAATGGCTCCTGTGGTGGATAATAGGAACTGATCACTCCTGGCTATGGGTGGCATTACTCTGGGGGAGCTCACAATACAGACAGGCAGATTCAGTGTTTTGGGTACCAGTAAAGGAGTCATTATGAGAATTGGTGGGCTGGGTGTGTGTAGACATGGGTCAATTAGCATTTGGAGCAGGGATTCCCCCATCATGCAGTGCTCCCCTGCTTCACTGGTCCCACAGTTCAGTGCCGTCCTTGCCTTGGAATCTCTGTTCTCCGTCCTGAATGCTAATGAAGGTGCTTTCCTGTCCCATCTCCCATGTAAATGAGACCAGGGGAGTTGCTTCACTCCTTCCTGTCACCCTTGTCTGGAGGGCTTTAGATGGTTTCCCACTGCATCTTCCTTGTCTTTTGTAAGTCTTTCTTCTAATCAGTTCTTGTTCAGGCAGAGGTGGGGAGGGTGCGAGTCCTTTGTGAGTCAGACTGGCTGTGTACTGTGGCAGGGGTCCTCAAGAACACAGAGCTGAGAGGTAACAAAGGCTATGGGAAACCTAAGATCTGTGTGTTGTCTCAACCGAGAGAGCAACAAGGCTGACAAGTCATGCTTGAGTAGTAAAACACTAGCATCAAATATTCAATACTTCCTTAAAATGAAACAACTTAGAATATTCTGTGAACAGAATGAGACTAAAATAAATTTAGCTACTCAGGGAAAATTATTGGATTGGCTCAAAATTGTAACCCTCCTATCCTAGTCAGTTTCAAGCTTGAATGACTTCTGAATTGGTCCTCTTTTCTAAACTCTGTATACATACCACTTGTTTTACTTCCTCTTCTAGATTTGTTAGAATGTGGGTGGAAGGGGGTACTGTCTAATCATGGTCTTGCTTCTAAAGCACCTCTCCCTGTGAGTATGCAGTGCCACAAGTACAACTAATGCAAGAGGATTTCTTTGATCTTTTGGGCTTGTAAAACCAGCTTTGATTATTTGATTGTTTAGGAGTGTATCGTTCTCAAACCAGCGAGGAGTTCTTAAAGAATAAGAAAAGGTGCGAGCTTCTGGGTTGCAGGAAGCTTCAGTTAAGAATCTTAGACTTAAGAATCTAGACTTGGGAGACCAGATCACATTGTGCTAAAAGATGTGACTTTTGACATACGTGCTCCTAACACTTCCTTTACAAAAGGAGCTGAATGTTTTGGTTAGAAAAAGGATACTCTTTTGCTATACCAAAAGCTGACTTTGAGAAA